ACTTCTATACAAGCTTTCTAGGGCTGTGCAGTTATTGCAGTGGTTTGTGATCCAGGCAAAGTACCTATCTTAGCAGTTGCCTTAGAAAAATAGGCCAGTAGGTGGCCTCGCTGCTTCATCCAGTTAAGCTCTGTGCCAGATCTCTAAACGAATTCTGAATGGGGAAGATGCTACAACTGAATGGTAGCATTCTCTTTCAGTTGTTGCCTAGCTCTCCACACAGTTGCTGGGATAATGTGAAAGGTTCTAAATATACTCGGAGAACATGTAGAATGAAAAGCAAAAGCCTGCTTATTTGCAGTGTTTTAAAGACTGAAATCAAGTATCACTGAAAGAAGAGATTTGTTGTCAGTTTTGAAACAAGTCTGTTTGGTTCATACTGATTCTCCAAGAGTAGTAATTGAGAAGTATGATTCTACAATGGGTTCTGCAGGAAAAACATGAGAGCATGTTGGCTCTCCGTTGTATCTCAGGGAAATGTCTCTTTTGGCAGCTTGGTACAGCGGCAAGTTTTTCCCTTGAGAATTTTTCCTTTTGAAGCCTTTGCTATATGGTGTATTACAACAAAATAAGGTACTCTGTGTACTCAAATGACTGTTATGTAAGTTCAAATGGCTATGCTTTAATGAAGAGAATTGGAAAGCATTCTCATGTAGCATTAGAAATCTGTTGTTTGATTGTGAAACAAGAACAAGAAATTCATGTGATTGAAAACAAATGGCTTGTTTTCTTCAGGCAGAGCAACCTACGAGAATGGAACTGATTCTATTTGTTCCATTTCTCTTCTTCTAGTGTTTAGCACAATGCTGGGTGTTCTAGAGGTGGTTTTTTTTTTCTTTTTTTCCCTAACCCCAGTGTTAACACTTCATAGTAATTAAAGATTGGTTACTAATTTATGAACCTAAGATTGCTGCTTCAAGTCAGAATGGTTTATGAACAGTTTGAAATTCTCTGTACTCCTTACAGATTCATGCGTACTTGAAATCTCCCACATCTATGTGTGGCAGTTGTGTGTGAAAGTTCCTTGCTACTGGAGGTGAAAGCGAAATGCAAACTTGTCCTGATTAACTATCAGAATTAAATCTTTAATGAATGTTCTTGTGACTTGTGAATCAAAACTGCATGGAGGAACAGAAGTTGAAGGTAATGGACTTGTTTTGACTTTTTACTTCTGCAGGACCGTCTGCTTTGGGAGACTAACATGTTCCAAATACCTGATTGGTGCCACTGATCATGGCTTTCTCTGTTGCTGGAATCTGCTCAGTTGTGCATGTAAGATGAGCTTAAACGCATGCTAGAGGGAAAGTAATGACGTTTAACCTTTGAATGTGCTATGATCAAGTAATTCTAGTTTGATTCTAGATTGACCCACTGTAAAATGGCCTGTGGAGTTGTAGTGTTTTTTGTACCTGAGTATAGATAGCACCTCACTCAGTATGCATGTGCTTAGCAAATCCTAGTTTAGGTGATGGATAACCCAATAGCAGCTAGTATTTCCTTTGTTTTTACAAATGGTTGATCATGTTTTCATTAGTCTGAGAATAACTGAAGTTGTATGGCTCTTGCAGAGCTGAAGCCTTGTGGGTCTTTTCCATTTTAAGTTTTATTTGGCAAAGCACCTGAATAGAATTCTTTTTCACATCCTGCTACTGCTGTGTTTGCTTTTCAGTGGAATGGAGTGCTCACCTCAACGTTGTAGTTCTGCAACCTGATCCCTTTTCAGAACATATTGCTGCTTTCTCCTGGCTCTTTAAAGAGTCCAGCTGTGAGTACAAAGGCTTTTTTGACAAGTAGTAGTCAGTGGAACTTAAAACTGGTAAAGTATGATTTATAGAAAAGATTTTCTTAGAATTCAGCTCCATGAAAGCCACTCAACAGACCTGAGTCTGTGTCTGACCCAGGGAAAACTGAGCTATGTTTTGAAGCAGCAATTAAATACAGGTAAATTCCAGTATTTAAACAACACGCTCCCTGTCTTCTCTTTCAATAGTTTATCTCCAGCACAGTGTAAGATGAACTGTCCTCTGGATGAGTGTCTTGTGTGGTCTCAACTCTCACCTTGAAGCTCAAAATCATGGTTGAATTCTATAGCTTTGTACTAGACTTGTGATGTAAGTGAAGATAAATCTTTCCAGAACTACTGTTCTACAGTAAACGTCATCTCCAAGTATGTTCTTGGGATGGCAATAATGTGAAAAGTACTGTATGGGGACTGCTGAGTTGTGGCCTGAACCTCTGAGTGATGGCCTGAGGTGAGCAGTGAGTCAGCCATGGGAGCACAGGTGGAGGCAATTCAGCTGTGCTGCAGGAGGGGGTGGAGCCTGGCTGCACCTCTCCTAGACCCATTGAAGAGCTGACTGCCAGTGGGAAGGATCTTTTCTGGAGATCCCTCCTTTTGGAGTTTTCCAGCGAGCCCAGGATAAGGGTAAGCCCTCCATCTATTCTTTTGTGGCGTAATAACTTGCTTAGCCAAACTCTCTTGTCTATATCTTAATTATAACATCTGTATAATCATTGATTATACAAGTACCATAAATTATGTGTTCAGCATATCTGAGCATAATTCCTGTTTAAAGGCAGTCCTGTGCAGAACTTTCTGGCTTTAATGCCTAGTGCTTTGACAACTATCCAGAAGGGGAAGAATGCCATGACTTCAAGCGAAGATGTTCTTGTATTTGCAGTGTTTGTATTTAAGCCAAATGAGCCACGGCCAATCTGTATCCAGAGAAAAATTTCTAAGGAAAGGATCCAGTTTGCTGCCTTTGTTCCAAGAGATGCACCTGAATCAATTGGCTCAGATAAATACCTTTGGCTAAGAAGATCCCATCTAAATTCAGATTCTAGAGAGTTCTATTAGCTCTGTGAGGAATTTATTGGAAAGGATGCCTGGGAGAGAATGGGTACAAAGGGCTGTGTCAAATAGCTCAGCTGAGTTAAACCTGAGCATGAGACTCTGTCACTTGGGTTGACTCTAAATTCTACTTGAGTTTTGGTAACAGAAAATGAGGTGGGACTTACATCTGTGTTACTAAGTTCTAGTTAAAACTTTGTCCTTTCTCAATTACAAGATGCGTTTGTTTCTTTTTTTTTTTAATTCAAGCTGGCAGCAGATGAAAGTCTTCCTGTGACCCCATTTAGCTTGCTGTTGGGAAAGCACAGGCATCAACAGTCACAGGGGGATGTAGACCTTGGAAAAATTGTTCGCCATCACCATGAGCAAGATTCCCCTGCTGTCAAAGAGGTAAGAGTCATTACAGTAAAAATATGAGCAAAATAATGGCAGGCAAAAATGTTCATGAAGCCTCTTTTTTTTTTTTTTTTTTTTTTTCCTTCAGCTCCTGCATACTCCAGCGCATGTTTTGCCATCTGCTTCCTTCCTGTGCCCCATATTTATTAATTCATTGCTTGTCTCCAAAGAGAAGACAAGGTAAGAGAAATTGGAAGGACTCCTCTCTGTTACTTCAGGTGAAATACATCTTTAAATAGAGTGTAAGACTGGTTTTTTAGCATGATTCATTATTCTGTTCATACAGGCGAGTAGAACGTGTCATAGAGGCAACATAAAGCACACAAAAAAGTTCAGATACGCAAGATCAGCTACTTACCATATGGGCCTTTACATTGCTGTTGTTAGTTATCCTGTCATTTGGCATAATGTACTTCTAAGCAAAACGTGTACATAGATACTCCAAAGTTGTTTGTCAATTGAACTTTATTTCCAGGTAAGGATTGTAGAAGGCTAGAATGGCTTGAGTTGAAAGGGACCTTAAAATAAGTTCCAACCCTGCTGCCGTGGGCAGGGCTGCTGCTCAGACGTGACGTAACGTGACGTGTTTTACCTACCGTTGTTTATACTTACAGCTTTCCTCAATGGTGTCACAAGCTGTTGCCATACTGCAAAGTTTAAAATCAATTATACTGTTTTTACTTTATTTCTTACACAAAAAAAATACATTGGCCTTTTCTTAGCATCTTGTTATTTTTAACAA